TTAAATGAAGAAATATTCGTTTCTATAGTGAAATATTCCATTGTTTATCAAAATATTGGGCTTGGTATGTATCGAAAAATGTTTTTTTTTCCGAAAAATGGTATGTTCCAGAAAATTGCCATATTAAAAATCAGTTTCTTAATATAATCGAATCAATCCCAAATGTCGCACTGTATGTATTTGAAATGTCACAAAGTACGGATTTTTAAAATAATTGTATTTTTTTTTCTTCAAAAAAGGTTGTTAAAGCGAGTGTTACAGTCCACGCTTTATTATTATTATTACGCTTACAATTTTTCAAGTATTATGCAAAACGACTATTATGCCAAACAGGGATGGATCGCTCTTTTGGGGCTTTTTCATTACGTTTTAATATAGAATGCTTACGTTAAATCGAAGACATCATATCAAGAAGACTGGCAACTTTGCCAGAATCCATGCGACAGACACAATAGCACTGCGCTAGAGTGAAGGTGGAAGCAACGCATAGAAAAATGAGCAAATACACAAACCTTTCTTCTGAGGATGTAATTTTTGCTATCAAATTCGTTCGAAGCATTTACCTTTGAGCGGCAGATGTACTTGTCTCAGAGCGTTCGTATGAGAAAATGGAAGAGTTGCCAGTCTTCTTGATTTGTTGTCTTCGGTTAAATCCAACTGCATTTTCAGTTAACCCATCTTAAAATAGATAGTTTAGCGCAGTGGCGTCGCCCTAACCTCAATCTACCTGTTCAGCAACTCCCAAAACGTAAACAAACAAAACAATATTGGTTGCAATGGATACGAATCAGTGAAACTAGAAGACCCCATGCCTTTTGAAACTGAATTGAATGTAAACATGACCCTAAATAACGTTTTCAAAGTTGTTGAACAGGTAAAAAGTGAGGTTACGCGACGCCACTGGTTTAGCGCTATTAATCTCTCTATCAAAATTAAAAATTACCGCAACGTTGAGCCACACTGTTTCCACTGAACTTACACTTGAGACCGCTCTCGAGTGCACCTTCAGTGAAAACACAGGTACCATTAATGAACCAATTTCCGCTCATTTAAGCCAATTTTATGTTTTCTAAATTCACAAAAAAAACCGTTAATATGTTTTTAAATGTTTTTAGTATTATTCGTTAATTCAATCCAGATACTATGCGAGAAAAATCAGAAAAACATCTTAATCTGTAGATAAAAATAAAAAATAAAAATACTGTTACCTGCACCAGTTACCGCTCACGGCAAGATCAGGTGTTCCAATTACCGTTCAATTTTTATCCAATTTTCCGGTAATTTTAATTGATGGTATTTTCATTTCTTTTCTTTCTTTAGATGGATAAATAGTTAGAGTTTCTGTAACATTTTATTTCATTGCTGTAACACTAATAATACCAATTTTCATTATACAGTTTAATCCTTTACGTTTGCATTCCTGTCTGAACTTTTGGTCGACGAATTTTGATTTTTCTTTTCTTATTCTCTTTCTCTGCCTTTTTTATTTCTCGTTCTCTTCGTTTCTGCTGTTTGTCGTGTTCCACCTTTTCCTTCTCCTTAACTTTAGCATCCATAAACAAGGCGAATTCTTTGCTAGTGGCAACAGTAGGTGGACGCAATGTTACCCGCTTTCGTTGCACCGATTTAATAGGATTTGGGTGGTTGAAGGATAAATTAAATGCCGCTGTGTTATCCGTATTATTTTCCTTTTCGCTATCACCATGATGCTCTGACATTTTTAAAAGTCTATCATCATTAGATGGTAACTGACCGAACAACTGTTTCTGCGTTGCGTATTTGTTGGCCATATTAGGATCACAATCTGTGGGATAGAAGAACAATCGTTCATTCAGCTATATAATTAAAAAAAGTTTAATCTAAATAACATACCGTCATTAGCCTATCCTCGAAAAACAATTTCGTCATCACTTAGTTCATCCACAAGAATGGGTTGGGTGCCACTATCGAAAACCTTACTCCTGTGTTGATTTGCTTCTACGGGTTGGACAAGATTCCCATCGCTGTACTCAAGTGCTTCCAAAGACTGATTGTCACTGCTGAAGACGCTGCAGCTGGTTTTCAAATTCCTCCAGAAGTAGAATAGGTTAGTATCAGTTATGTTTCCTTACCATAGGAGCGAATTCTGTTGGATTCGAAATTCGGTAATCTGTTGTACGGTCAGTCTGCTCTCCAGTAGGCTTATTAGTTTTACTTCTGAGGAATCTGGTGGTGTACCAGACGACCCATCAACATTGGCACTTAATGGTAAAGATGAATAATCAACGGCATCGGGACACCACGGATAAATTCCACTCCGCATGAATCCACTTCGAACGACTGACTCTTTATTAGTAAAATTGAGTAAAGCTTGCATCATAAGAGGACATATTTCAGGTTTAGAAATTGGCGACATACCATTATGTATGCGGAAACTCAGCACTTGTTCATGCCAGTGCTTTTTAAGAGGCCCAAAAAAACTGACGTCAAGGGGTTGAGTCAGATGCGTCGAGTTTGGGAAAAGTGCCACTAGGATTATTTGATGGTCGTTACAAAATTCAGCGTTCATCAGAGAAGTGTGGCTTTTATGACCATCTACGAATAAGATGACCGGAAGTGGTATTTTTTCTTTCTCGAGCCACGGCTGAAAAATGTTCTTAAGATAATCATAAAATGCATCACTTGTCATCCACCCGCTCGCGGTTTTTCCAATCCCCCAACCTGGTGGAGCACTTTTAAAAATTTCTCCAGGGAGCCGGCTTTTGTAGGGGAATAGCACCAGTGGGGGGAGTAGGTGGCCGTCGGCGCTAGCAGTAAACAGTGCGGTGTAACTTTCTTTATCATTGTTGGCGTAGATAGAATGCAGGTGTCTGATGTTCTTCGATGCCAAGCATTTCTGATTTCTCACGACTAATTCAAACGCGGTTTCGTCAAGGTTGAAGATCCGGTTGGGGTTGTCCAGTAAATATTCGAATCCCTCCTCTTTCAGATTATCACGCACTTCTTTAAACCACTGACGGATTTGTGGTTCGGCCACGGTAGCTCGATATTTCGCAAGGATGCTCGGCTTCCGTTGCGAAATTTGTTTATGCCGTTGCATGAAGAGCTTGAACCATTTTTTGCCGGGTATTCCTTTCTTGAAAGGGGTATTTTTATTTGTTAATTTCACAAACTGAGCTACACTCAGTTTTAGGTGTTTTTCAGTGATTGGGAAACCAGAGCGTGCGGCATGGGTCATCCAATCCACTATCCGGGTTTCTTCATCCGATGTCAAAATGGTTGACGGCCCGGGTTTGTTCTTACAATATTTATGTAGTAGTTTATCGCGTTAAGTTCCTGCCGGAACACCGTAGTGAGCAGCAGCTTGCCGTATGGACATCCCACGTTTTGCTGCGTCTACTGCCATTTCCATCGCCTTTGCGGAATATCCCTTCTTCTTTGCAGTTGGAGTCATCCTAAACAAGACAAAGTGAAAGGATAGCGAGCGTGAATTGGTTCTCAATAAATTTTTAGCGGCCCTGAAAACCGCTCAATACATTTTGACTCAGATATATGTAAAAACCCATTAGTTGTCATGAATCTTTGTATTAATCATAAATAAGACACTCAAATCTACCTACCTGTGCTAGTTTTAGCCCGAAATATCACGTAAACAAAGAACTATTCACTTAAATTGAAATCATCGACATACTAGCCAAAACAATAACATCGCGTGACGTTTGACATTTTCGTCGATAAAGAAACTGACCAAAAACTTTTTCTCAGCAATAAGACGTACGTCAGCAAAAGTAATTAAACCAAATGAAAATTTAGGGTTTTTGAAGTTTACGTATGTTTACAAATGTATAAACAGAGTACAATTGATCCGAAAAAATAGCTGTTTTTTGCAAAATTGAGCGGTATATGGGGCATGAGCGGAGACTGGTGCACTGATGGTAATTTTGAATTATGATAGGGAGTTTAATAGCATTAAACTATCTATTGTACGATGGGCTAGCGTCTGGCTGAAAATCTCCTTAATAAAGACAACCAACCAGCAAACCAACTGTGATAGAAAGTCTGTTACTCACTTATTCCTGCTACTCACTTATTTCTGTTACTCTTGGTGATTCCCGAATATGCTGGATTCAACCGTAGGTTCACGTCGTAGGAACGGAATAGTACTGGAAATCCGTCTTCACGAAGATCGGCTTCGACGGCGGTGGACTTCCGGCGGACTGACTATTCTGTCATTTTAAACAGTCTCCAGAAGGGAGCATCCATAAATGACGTAGCATATTTTTGATCAATTTTAGACCCCTCCTCCCCCCCCCCCCTCGTAGCGTATTTGGCTATATCCAATACATGGTTGGTCACAAATTCTGAAACCCCCACCTCCCCCCTCAAATGCTACGTCATTTATGCATGTTCCCAAAGAGAGACTGTCCACCAAATGGACAGTTAGATAGGGAGCCTAAATTGTGTCAAACGGGGACTAACCAGAGAGATCCCCAATAAGAGCGTAGAGGCTATAAGTACTTGTACTGAATAGACTCCAGAACACAACTGGTTTATTTGGAAATATCTTGACTTTGGTTAGAGAGAGAAAACTGGAGTAAGAACCTTTTTTCTAAAATATTGCAGATTTGCAATTTGCCCCGTGATCTATTGCTTTGGTTGTTTGTGCCTCGTTAGTTGTCAATATGAATTCTATAACAAAAAGTAAGGAAATGGCCCCAAAGAACGATCCATCACTGATGCCAAAACGGCTGTTATGTCAAATAGCATTATGCCAAATCGGGTAGACCCATATGAAGATAGAATACGTTTGGTAAACGTTATTGTCGATTTATCGAATTATTTCAAGTGAACCCACGATCTTCTGCTCGCTGAGCAGACACTCGGCGCACTGAACCGCCCAGTACCGTCTGGACAATCGCGCGGTTGCAGTTAATACTGAATTCTGAGATGGTATTAACTGGGCAGTGGTGCATGAATGGGCGCAAGATCTAACCAAGGTTTCCTATTTTCTCCCATTGCAGCATCCTCCTCCTCGAGCTCGTCGTCATCCTCTTCGTCCTCATCGTCGTCGCTGGCCGGTTCGCCCAACGGAAAGTATGACAATCTGGGCATCCTGACGCCGGCCACATCCCCCAAGCTGACCCTGATGGGTGGCACCGGTGGAACGGGAACGGAAAACCTGCTCCCAATGACCCCGATCAGTCCAACCGGTGGCATTGGTAGCAGCAACAGTGGGGGCGGTGGTGGAGGAGGCGGTGGAGGTAGTAGTGCGACCGCTAGTTCAGCGCTGGTAAGTAGTAGTAAAGCTCTGTCGGCGGCCACTCTCGTGGGCCAGCTGCACACCGAAGAGACGTAGCCGATACTCAAGAATCTACTGCTGAGAAAGTGTTGAAGGTGAACGTGACCGCAAGCACCGCATGATCCTTCGGGTTTGAGCTTGCGGGTTTCGTCTTTTTCGTTGTTTTCTTTGAAAAAAAGAATCGTTAGTAGTGAAAGAATAATACGCTTTTTATCTTTACCGACACCGTGGTCAAATACAGAGAGAGAGATGGGGGATATAAAACAAATATTAGACAGCAGAAGATAACCGGCAGATATACCTACCTAAGTAAATTTAATGCAGATGCGTAGTTTAGGGCTTCAAAGGTTCACCTATTCAAGATGGTTCAGATTTAGATTTGAAACAAACACTAAACATAGCATAGTAACTTGGTCTCAGAACAGGAAATAGATCACCTTAATACTTGGTAGCATGTAGAAGGCATTACACATATTCTCTCTCTCTCGCACACACACAGTCAGAAACTAACCACCTCTTTTCACGTCGCTTCTTTTATTCGTCTGTCTGCGCGGTGGACTTTAAACGCCGACTTTTTTTGTTTTGTTTATTTATTTAACTCTATAGCAAACTCCGTACTTAAGAGCAGAAGCTAAATTACTGAAACTGTATTGTCACTGTCGGTTAAGTTTTCGTTCTCGTTTTTTGTTTGTTTTATGAAATTTAAGACCTCATACTTGGTCGTGTCCAAATTTTGCACTGTTTTAAAAAAAAATTAGGCATCTATTCCCTGCAATTAAATTACATCTCGACGTTCACTGGAAAGAAGAGAAAACGCGGAAAACTAACTAGAACGATATACTAATATCAAAGAATAACAAATCAGATCTCAGATTCTCGTTCGCTTGTAGCTTGTTAACATACACATTAGGATGAGAGGAGAACTGTTTATAGTAAAGGCCAGCAGCGGCATTGCAACGACGAAAACGAAGAAAGATTGATAAACTATTGATACCAAAATTTAAGTCATAGGATCTTTATAGATAATTAATATATATATATATCTTAAAATCAATGCAACAGCCTGTTGATGAAAATTTAAAATACAAACAAAACACCTACACATAGTACACATATAGACAAACAAAATTGTATAAAATATAAATAACGAAATTGCATGAATGCCATCTTCCTTCGGTTGTGACGAAACAAGCAACAACAGCTACTAAAACAAATCAAGAAGAAAAACAATGATCACACAATGGTTCAAAGAGGCTACACACTGCTGGCTACACTTGTAGTTGTGTGCTGCTGCGCTCCGAAGAAGAGTCGGAAAATTATTAGCTAATCAGAAAATCAGCGCCGATGGGGAAGGTTGATCCGGTCTGTCCGGGTCGAACTTGTGCCCACCGACCGAATTGGTAAACAAATGCTCAATACTAGAATCAGTATCAAGTACCCAATCACAACCACAGCGCCACCCATACGAACATACATACATACATACATAACAATATGAAAGCACCCATTTTCATTGAGATTATCATCGGCAACGTTTGTAGTTTTGATTGCACGGAGAAGCTGAGCTGCGTTCATTGTTCAAGCGCATTATTTTCTCATTTTTACTGAGGAAACGCATCGTTCATTTATAAGGTAATAACGATTAATGTAAACATTAATATTTGTGTTGATTCAAATGCTGTGATTTTTACAACCCCCCTTTCCCCCCTGTTTCTCGTCATCGCCCACGTCGCCATCCCCCGCATTTCGATGTTTGTGATTTTCCCCATATATTTCCTCAGCTCCTTTCTGTTCCATCAAATTTGGAGAGAGCCCTGCGATGAAAGTCTGAGGTCGAACGAAAGTTATCTGAATTAAGGACTTGGAATTGTGACCACCGGAACATTGAATCGAGTTGACTCAATTTCGTCAGAAGTCCTAGACAGAGTAAAATTTTCATGGAAAAGTCAACTCACTTTTGAGCAGTTCCATGCAAAATAGCGAAAACAAGTTGAACTGTTGAGTCGACCTTCTCCGATTTGTATGAAACTTTGCGTAATCGTTTGTTGTGGGCAATGATTCACATTTTTGCTAAAATTCGGCCATTTTGAATCTAGTAATACTTTCAAAATGGTGCCCTTGAAATTTTTCATAAATTGTAGCACAAAAACGGCTTTTCTGATCGAAATGACGTCTGAGCCAAAGTTGTTGACATTTTTGATACATTTCAAGAACGCCATTTTGAAAATCTCTTCAAAATCTTGGCCGATTTTTAGCATAAATGTGAATCATTGCCCATAACAAACAATTGGGCAAAGTTTCATGCAAATCGGAGAAGGTCAAGCTTTTCCAATTCGTCATTTGGCGTGGAACTGCTCTTTTGACGAGAATGAGTCGACTCGAACTTTAAGATTTGAGCTATAGGGGTAAGAGGGGAATAGTGAACAGGTGAGGCATAGTGAGCATCCCGTGCACCAGCTTGAACTTCCGGCCGTTCGGAAGAAATTTATTGGTGGTAAGATTCAATATCATAATGATATTGAATCTACTACCAGTTGATTTGTTTCATGCAGCTAGAGATTCCGGGTCAAACTGCGGGATGCTCACTATGCCCCACCTGTTCGCTATGCCCCTCCTCCCCCTATTTATGCGATATTTGTGCTCCGAAAAAAAAAATGGTAGTTCAACTCAGCCATTTATGTATGTATTTAAAAAGTTTTAAAAATGTTTAATACCTGAGAAGTTTTTCCAAGAAAATGTTTTGAAAACCCCCGTCGATAACGCCCAAGTTTTGCGCAGTGTTGCCAAACCAGACTTTCACCGCGGGGCACTGATTTCCTCTCATAACCATCATCTGTGAAGTTGTATTAAATATTCTCGATTATTTAAATTATTCACCCAAAATGGCATCCCGCCAGCCCAATTCACCCACCCTCACTTCGTGCTGTGCTACCCCTCGTCCTCATCCACACGACCGCCCCCTCCCGTCTTTGTTATAATTGTTAGTAGTACCATTAGAAAACCAGGTAGTCGTAGTAGAGAACTAGTAGCAGTCTAGTAGAAGAAGTGGATATTTTGTCTTTTTTCCTAGTGAGTAAGGGTCGTCGAGCCGGACTAAACGCAAAATGCACTGTTTTCACATGCTGCTTTTCTGTAAGTTTCGTTTTTTGAACCTTGTAAAAAAATATCTAAAAGAAGGTTACCTGAACAAAAACATTAAAACATATTACCGGATAATGACTTTGTAAAAAGCCCCTTTCCATCGAGAACTTAGCTCTTAGAATTATTCCTCTCGTGGTTGTTGATTCGTTATCGGTGTATCCCAAACTTCTTGTCCCCTTTCCATTCCCTTATCGGAGGAGCAGATGAATGCCTGGACGAGTCTAACCTCACTTTTTTTTCTTCTCACGTCTGCTGGAAGACAGTCAAGGGCGCTTTGTTTACAAAACACACCACCCCAACCTGACTTTAGGCAGCGGAAAAACAAGTGACGCTAAACGAATTTCGGTTTTTGTCTGATGTATGCGTGTGTAATATAAGAGCAAAAGTTGTTTCTTTGTTATGTTCGTGTTTTTTTTCTCCTATTAACCATTTTCTATGGCCAAAAGCTTGGCTGTCACTGTCCATACAAAAAAAAAACATGCTGACAAGAAAAACGAACTTTCTCGCAGAAAGCGCCAGCTGCGATTTACGTGCATACTAAAAAAACGGAACGGGAAATGTGTAACACAAAACAAGAAGAATAAAACATAAGAAAATAGAAGTGAAAACTTTCTAGCTAGTCAAATTTTATGTTATTATAATATTAAAATATTGTAATTATACGTTTTATCACATTGTAAAGCTATTATAATTCAGATAAATGAAGAAGAAGAAAAAGGCTAGGCGATAGGAAGCGTAAAGGAACAAAAACTATTAAATTAAACAAAATATTACAACTTCTACACACAACTGAGAAAAATGGTCTTTTAGTCGTCTTTTAAATGAAATTGTAAGATTAAAATTAAGAAGTTTAAATTATTTATTTAAATTAATTGCAACAGTAAACTAGAAATCGAAGAAGTTGGACGAATAAGTAGCAGAAAACAGAAAGTAAACAAACAAAAAACATCACAACAACAAAAAATCCAAACGCGCTATTTCAAATTGTATAAAACAAAACAAGAAAGCAGAAAATTGCATGAACTATTACGATTATTATTATATCTCTGTATGTCATATTTATTGATATGATGATGCTATAAAGAAAAAAACAGTCGATAGGTCAAAATCACTGAGAAAATAATAATAAAGAAAAACAAGCTGAAAATTAACTAGGCGACTAGTAGGGTTATTGAATCCGAACGGTTCCCTAATGATGGTGCTGGAAAACCAGGCAATCTTTTCGGGGCCTCGAAGGCAAAATTAGCATCCGGAACCGTGCGTTGCTTTTGAAGCTTAAAACTTTGATACAACTTCCACGGCGCGGATATTGCGATTTTTGTGGATTTACCGCGGATTTGAACTTTCAGGCGTGAAAACCGCGGTAACATTAATTGGTGTCGCGAAAATCGCGAATGATATGCTACCACAAAAATTGCGGAATTCATTTTAACCTTAAGCGTCCCGGATTATTTTGCTGTCATTAATTGTGTTGTTCATTTCGCGGCTCTAGTTTTCTCAATTTTTTACCGATTTAAACCAAGCACCCTGCAAATAGTCCAGAAATTATCAGAGTTCCATAAGTCACACTTGTTGGTCACGTCGGATTAACGGTTCCGGATTTACACGGAAATTCCTTGGGGTCTGTCCAAAGTTTATTGTTGTTTACATCAACAGGCTGGATGAAGCCCCAATGATTTTAACCTTATCAACTATGGTAAAAAAATACATTCAAGCATGGTCATAACATAAAAAACATTAAACAACGTATATCTTATAGTCAATATCTTAACTCCTGTCGGCGAAAAACAGAAGAAAACTTTCGACGAAGCGCATCACGGGAGAGATGAAAGTCGAAAACAGTTCGACAGTGAGCATGCATAAGGGCGAATACGCGATGATCGATTCTCTTCATCGATTTTCTCTTTGCATTGCTACAGCTAGGCGAAACAATTTTCTAGAATTTGTTCAATGCAGAGTAGTAACAGGTTGTATTGGCTATCGAAAGCAACAGCAAACGCACCGAGAAACGTTAAATCTAGCGAGTTATTAACAAAAGAGAAAATCGACGAAGAGAATCGATCATCGCGTATAGGCCCTTATGCATGCTCACTGTCGAGTTGCAACTCTGTTGAATGTTCTCTGCAGTCCGCAAATCGCACCGTACGCTCCATAATTCGTGCGACGAAGAGGCAGTCTTAGCATAAGGTTATTACGAAGCGGTCGGGGTTGAACATTCAGGTCAATTTGCCTCAGGATAGCCTCACAATCTGTCCTTCCTTGTAGGATATCGGCCACGGTTCGGTTTTTTTTTTTTAGTTTTTATTAAGAGATTTTTAGCCTATGGCTAGTTCATCTCCGGAAGGCCACGGTTAGGGCTCTGCTTGTGTCTCTTCTAGTCCGGAGAAGTTCTAGGTCGATAAGTTGACAACGGCTTTCGTAACTTGGTAATCGAAACGGATCATTCCAAGGCAATCTACGCAACGAAAAACGAAGAAAGCGACGTTGAACAGATTCAATTATCTCGGCACCGTTGTTGTAGTTTGGGTTCCAAACCGCTGAACAATACTCAAGCGTCGATCGAACAAGCGAACAATAGAGAGATTTTAGACAGTAGATATCAGTGAAGTTTTTAGCTATCCTAAAAATGAACCCTAAAGTTCTTGACGCCTTATCAACAACATATGCAATGTGTTGCTTGAATGAAAGCTGCGAATCCAAGATCACACCCAAGTCTTTCACCTGATTCACGCGTCCGATTGTCGAGCCAAGCAGGTCATAGCTAAATATTCTCGGTTGTTGTTTTCGTGAGAACGTAATAGCGGAGCATTTGGCTGGGTTCACTACCATTCTGTTTAACCTGCACCAACTAGCGAATACATTCAGTTGACGTTGAAGAAAGTGACAGACAGCAATGGAACAGATTCGTAGGAAGATTTTGAGTTCATCTGCATATGATAACCGAGGAGCTTCGACGACCAGATGCACGTCGTTGAAGCATAGAGGTAACTCTAAGACCACTGGGTCCCGAAGAAAATCATTATTATTTTTGGCTCACTCAGTACCAGAACAACGGTCCCAAGCAGTCCCAAGCTATTTCACTCACCCCTGCATGTTCTGCATGAATCTACACACCCCTGATGTTATCTGTCAAACTTTCATAGCGAATCAAAACAAACATAGTGTAGTAATAGAATTTCAACTAGAATAGGGTACGTTAATCGTTTGCTTGGGACCAATAGGCTACTAAAGTGGTGAGCCAATTTAAAATCGTTAGTTTCGTATTGATTGTTGGTAAACCCATGTTGATCAGCACTCAAATACTGCTTGCAATGGGACAGCAACGGTTCCATAATCACTAGTTCGAATAGCTTCGAAACGGCACTTAACGACACTTAAAGATGGAAATATGCCACCTGAGAGCAGGCATGGAAAATCATTTGCATTCATTTCATACATTAATTTACATTCATTTGCCTCTAACTTTTTTCTTTAGCAGCATTCCGCATATTGATGTATAGAACTTTTGTAGGTTTTCTTATTAGCTACAAGTTTTGTTCATAACTCAAATCTGTATCTCTTATGCATCACGAACTAGAGCGGGCAGAACTTGTTACTGTTTTTCAGTGAATGTAAAATACATTCACTGAAAAACAGTAGTGGCTTCTGTTCGCTCTGTTTCGTCATGCATATGAGATACGGATTTGACTTGTTAACAAAAGTTGTAGCTTATAACAAAAACTACAAAAGCTCTATACATCAATATGCGGAATGCTGTTAAAGAAAAAAGTTAGAGGCAAATGAATGTAAATGAATGCACGAAATGAATGCAAATGATTTTCCATGCCTGCCTGAGAGAGACATTCGGAACAGGCGAAGAAGCGGAATTAACAAGCTAGCAATATGTCTCTTCAAAAATACACATGGAACTCCATCAGGTCCAGGATTGAAGGATGACTTGAGCAGAGTCGCGGCCTTAGAAATCATTTCTGCATTAACATCAATTGCACCCAGCGTTTGATCGTTTACTGGAACGTTCCTGGCAGCCAGGTTAATATGGTCGTCAGTTAGTGTCTCACTGGCAAACTTTTCGGAAAAAAGGTGGCATATTTATATCCTGAACAGTGGCAGCAACTTATCCGTTGAATTCCATAGACGATGGGAGGCCGGATTCCCTGCGCTGCTCGTTCACGTAGTTCCAAAAGGATTTCGGGTGTAGCCTAAGTTTGCGCTGGATGCCTCGTTGGAAACTTGAAAAGCATTCACGACTGACTCGCTGGTACATGTGATTCAGC